GGGTGTGTCTATCTGTGTATTTCCCACACTCAGCATTTGTGTGCTTTTGTCACAATTTCGCCACGTCCTCCTTCCTCTTGAACTATTATCTACTTAATATTTTTTTTTCTAAATCAGCACCATTTTTTCCTACTCTATCCTTATCCTAAGAAATAATAGTCATAAAATCATGAGTTTAATGTGGATGGATGATTTTTCATTAATAGGAAATATAATAAATACATTACCACTAAAAATTTTTTTTACTGCCATTAAATTTTTTTTAAAATATATTTTATTGATTTTTTACAGAGAGGGAGAGGAATAGAGAGTTAGAAACATCGATTCAGCTGCCTCTTGCACGCCCCCTACTGGGGATGTGCCCGCAACCCAGGGACATGCCCTTGACCGGAATCGAACCTGAGACCCTTCAGTCCGCTAGGACCAAATTTTTTTTAGAATATATTTTTATTGATTTCAGAGAGGAAGGGAGAGGGAGAGAGAGAGAGAAACATCAATGATGAGAAAGAATCATTGATCGGCTGCCTCCTGTACGCCCCCAACTGGGGATTGAGCCCGCAACCTGGACATGTGCCCTTGACCAGAGTCGAACCCAGGACCCTTTAGTCTGCTGGCTGAAGCTCTATCCACTGAGCCAAACCAGCTAGGGCTGCCATTAAATTTTTAACCATAAGTTTATCCATGTAGGACTAAAAATTATCTCACGTAGTAAGCACACCTCACTTTGGGCAGCACTGATTCCACCGGTCTGGCCATGTGTCTGATTTCTTACATGTGCGTTAATGCGGAGGCAGGGCCCTGGGTTCTGTGTGTGTGTTTGCATGTGCTGTCTGAGGGTGTTTCTGTGTCTGTGCAGTCATTTGTGTCCGTGTGTCTGTGTCGGTGACCTGTGGTGTGTGTGTTTATGACTACACGTGCCTGTGGCACTGTTGAGAGTGCGTGTGTCTTTGTGCGAGGATATTGTGTGGTCCCCACATTCACAGACTCTTAGAACAACAGTGCTAGAAGAAATCCGGAGACTCTCTCCAACGCCCGCATTTTACAGGTGGGGAAAGAAAGGCCCAGAGAAGTGGACAAGGATTTGCTCTGCAATCTTGGGCAAGTACTGTACTTGCATGGACCTCAGTTTCCTCATCTGTAAAATGGGGGTCATACATACGATGGAGTCGGTTTGAGGACTGAAGAAAAATAATGTACGTTAAGTCCTTAGTACAGTGCTTGAGTGGGTAAACACCCAACAGACACTAGCTGTGATTCTTATTACTGTCACGGCCATCACCAAAATCCGAGGTCCCCCCCGATTTGAGGCAGAGCCTGACCTGATAACTGACAGGGCAGTTATCTGCCGCCCATGGTTCCTCTTTAGTGGGGGCGTGTGTGCACTTCTGAATACCTACATGCATCCATCCTGTTAGCAAACACAAGTGCCTGGTGCGGAGTAGGCTGGGGGACCCGTGCATCGGTTAGGATGTGTGAGTCTGCATGGCTCTGAGTATCTGTGTGTTTGTCTCTGCTGCAAACTTCTGTGCAACCACGTGGACCTTGGGTGTGTCCGCCAGCGTGTCCCTCTGCACACGCCTGTGGGTATCTGTGGACATGGGACTGTATGGGTGTGGATGTGTGCTCCGGATGGGGCTTTGGATTTTGTGTGGGAAACAAGGGGAGACTTAAAGGAGGGCCAAGGGTGGTTTAGGGGCAGGAATGAGGGCTTTGGCGGTTGGGATACTGGAGGGTCCAGGATTATGGGTGTTGGGAGCCCAGGGGGAGCATCTCTGCCCTGGGAGCCCTGACTCTCAGCCCCCTCCACTCCCCAGCGCCGGGCTTATTTCCGCCTCTGGAATGTGGCACTGGAGGGGTTCCTGGCAGTGCCAGACCACGTGGAAGACATGAAGGCGGGCCGTGTGGTGGTTGCTGAACCTGGAGCTGGAGGTAGCTGCATCTGGTACTACGAAGATGGGCTGCTGAAGAACCAGGTACTGATTTGGTGGCTGAGACAAGGACACCAGGGCCCCGGCATTCACAGACTCACCGTGGGGAGTGCCAGCCCAGTCCGTAACAGGACCCACCCGGGGTCGGAGAGACACACACTCAGACACCAAGACCCTGGGGAGTGGAGAATGCAGGCTGTGCATCCACCCCTGGGCAATTTATCCTCTTCTCTGGGCCTCGGTCCCTCATCTGCAAAACAAGGGCATTGAACCAGATGCTTCTAAGGGACTTCCCAGCTCTGACGTCCTGTGACAGAACTTGGATCCTAGTAATAACGATAGATTCACTCCACAAACATTTCCTGAGCACCTATTACGTACCAGGCCTTGTTCTAGGTGCTGGGAATACAGCGTCGAGAACACAGAAACGACGCTTGCCCTCCTGACGCGTACATCCTCGTGGGGAGTGGCAGAAACAACTTAAATGAGTAAAATATTTTAGCACCTTAGAGGATGCAACAGAACAGTGATTTTCAACCTTTTCATCTCATGGCACAACATAAGCTGATTACTAAAATTCTGTGGCACACCAAAAAATATGTTTTGCTGATCTGACAAAAAATAGATATCATTTTGATTGATTTACCAACAAATAATAATAATAGTAATTACCTATCCTTTTTGCTCCAAAGTGACTTTTAAAAAAACAACAGCCCAGGTGCCTATACTTGTATATAAGGGTTTCTGGTGTCAAGAATTGGCCAATCGAAGGCAACCTAATTATGTGGCCTGACCAATAAGATGCAACTCTATTATATGATCTATATATTGATGGTTTAAGGCAGGGCATTCACACCAGACGGCTATTGCTGTGTTGGCTTTGTCATTTTTTATTTGACAACCTAAGGGAAAAGAGGTCAGTGCCCCTGACTAAATAGTCAGGTATTGCATGCTTTAAAAATTCTTGCGACGCACTGGTTGAAAATTGCTGCCATCGAGAAAAAATAAATGAATAAAAGGAATAGAAAGTACTGGCAGCTCTGACAAGGAGAGCCCTTTCTGGGACGATGACGTTCGAAGGAGGCAGCCATGCAGGTACCTGAGGGAAGAGTGTTCCAAGTAGAGGGAACCGTAAGTGCAAAGGCCCTGAGGTAGGAACATGCCTGGCATTTTCTAGAACCAGCAAGGCCGCCTGAATGACTAGAGTGAAGTGAGTGGAGGAAGGAGTAGCAGATGGTATCAGAAAGGGTATGGGAGTGCAGGTCCTTACAGGCTATTAAAGGGTTTGTCTCTGAGTTAGAATGAAAGGGAACACTATGTACCAGGTGCCATGCGAAGCCCTTCACATGCACACCTCTTTAATCCTTAGAGCGGCGGTTCTCAGCCTGTGGGCCGCGACCCCTTTGGCGGTCGCACGACCCTTTCACAGGGGTCGCCTGAGACCATCCTGCGTATCAGATATTTACATGACGATTCATAACAGCAGCAACATTACAGTGACGAAGTAGCCACGAAAACAATGTTATGGTTGGGTCGCCACATGAGGAACTGTGTTTAAAGGGCCAGAAGGTTGAGAACCGCTGCCTTAAAGCGTACTATGGGCAGCTTCTATTTTACTATCCGTTTTACAGGGTAGGAAAGCTGAGTACAGAGAATTTAAGTAAGTGGCTGAAAGTCACACAGCCCATCAGTGTGTCTGTGGAGGCTTGTCTGATGCTAAAGCCTGTGTCTGGGGAGTCAGTCGTGGAAGGTTTCCTGGAGGAACGAGTATTTGTCCAGCCCTTTTATGATTTCTCACCCTCACAACAACCAGCACTCAGGGATTCCCATCTCCAAGGAAACCAACGTTTAGGAGGATTGAGAGATTTGCCCAGGGTCACAATCCATAAGGATGTAAAGCGGGGTGTGCCGGGGTGTCTTTCTCTGGTGGGGTCCCTGTGGAGAGGAGCAGTGCCTGATGACCTCCTGGGGCCTCAGGTGGCCCCCACCATGAGCCTGCAGGTGATTGGGCCCCCCAGCGCAGGCTCCAAGGTGGTGCTGTGGGCCGAGAGCCGCCTGCCCCGTCAGACATGGAGCATCAACGACTTGGGCCACATCTGCAGCCAGATGTTTGAAGGTCGGATCCTGGATGTGAAGGGTAAGGTGGGGATGTGTGCGGGAGAAGGCACCTGCGGGCAGCGGAGTCCCCAGCTTGCTCTGACCATCTGTCTCCCCATCTCTTGCTCCTCCCCAGGTGGCCGGGGCTACGACCGGGACCATGTGGTGCTGTGGGAGCCGACCAAGGACAGGCTTTCCCAGATCTGGACTGTTCATGTGCTTTGACACCCCACCCTCCCAGGCCTGGAGGCTTTCTCCGGGATGAAATGTTTTTATAAGTGTTTGTTGCTATTGTTGTTGTGTAACATGAGTTGTTTTCTAATATCCTCCTGGGTAGCCTCGTCTCTGTGCACTTGGTACTTGGGAGTGGGGTGAGGATTCCTTCACCTGCCTTGGTCACCCTACATCCAGGCTGACTTCTTCCCTCCCAGCTTGCCTGGGGCTCAAATGTAAGGCCTCCCTCTGCCACCAGAGAGAGCCCTGGGTCCAGACTTACTAACTGGTGAGTGTGGACTCTTAAGCAGTTACCCCAAATGATGTGTGCGGAGAACCCGCTCTGAGCCAGGTCTGGCACCTCTCTCACTTAGTGGGAACATGCATGGGGTTTTTGATGCCCCCCTGCCCCCCATGGGGAGCACAACGACCAATTTACTTTTAAACAAGAAAGGAACTAAGGAACTGTGTGCCTGTGTGTGAGACGCAGGGGCTGTGGGGACACACACAGGAACCAAGCCCCTTGGCCCCTCCCTCAGGGAGTTCACAGGTCCAGGGGAGGATTCTGATGAGGAAATGTCAGGACTCTGCAAGGTGTTCCCAAGGGGAGGAGCCTCAGCATTTGGACTTTGGATCGGGGACGTGGGGTGGGGGCTCCCTGGCGCCACCTCCTGCTGATGGGGGCTTGAGTGGCTCCTTGGTGCTGTTGCAAACCTGGCGTTTGGGGCCCCCTGATGCCAATGACCACACACAGGCCCCAGCTCCAGGTACAGGACAACTTTATTGACCCCCAGCTGGGTGATGCTAACACCTCCACATCAGTATCTCCCTGTGTAGGCCATTGCCCCCCAAGGAACTTTCTGTCAATTTCCACAACTGATGGTCTCTGGTCTCAACCCCTCCCAAGGACTGGGGATGGGGAGTTTCTCTTGCCATGTCTCAGAGGACACAGGGTTGGGGCTGATGCCTGTTGCCTCAGCTGAGGTGGAGGAGCTGGAGGAGGGTGTTGGTCAAGAAGATAAGGACACCGCCACTGCCCAGGCTGCTGAGTGCTGGGGCCCCGCCCTTGATTTTCTTGGTGCCGAAGGTGGTGGTGGTAGCCCTGGTAGTGGAGGTGGCGGCGGCGGCGGCGGCAGTGGAGGTGGAGGCAGAGGAGGCGGTGGAGGCGGTGGAAGTGGTAGGTGCGGAAGTGTTTTGCAAGATTCCACTTTGTATCTGCAAGAGAAGTGGGGCGAGCTCAGGGGGCTTTTGGATCTCATGTTTGTTTAGAGACATGTCCCCCACCCAATACAATAGTCTTCACTTCTCTGTCCCATGATGATGACGTCTGCCACCAGTTCCCATGGAGACGATTGGCTGCTTCCTGCCTTGACACAGTCCCTAGCCCAGGGGTCCTCAAACTTTTTAAACAGGGGGCCAGTTCACTGTCCCTCAGACCGTTGGAGGGCCGGACTATAGTTTAAAAAAGAAACTATGAACAAATTCCTATGCACACTGCACATATCTTATTTTGAAGTGAAAAAACAAAACGGGAACAAATACAATATTTGTATTTGCATGTGGCCCGCGGGCCGTAGTTTGAGGACCCCTGCCCTAGCCCACCTCCCACAGAACCTTCCTGTCATCTCCAGACCACCAGCTCCCCCAGCAGGTGGAAGACAGGGGAGGCTGTGGCCCCCGGCCCCTGAGCTCACCAGTTGGGCCAGAGGCTTAACCTATGTGAGCCTCAGTTTCCTCATATTCTGAGTGGAGAGAAGAGCACATTACAGTTGGGGGTTGGGGGTTGGGGGGGGGGGGTCCCATGGGAAGGCACCTGGCAAAGTGTGGGTGGGTGGATGGAAAGATGGAGAGAGTACAGTTTCCTCCCTGAGGACATGGCCAGATGGTGAGCACGCTGTTCTCAATGCTTGACCAAGCCGCAGCTAAAGTTGCTCTTGATGGAGATTAAGCTGTTTTTGATGGTGCTCAAGCTGTTCTTGATCAAGAACTTGATGGCTCCCGGCTCTTACGCCGACTGGAGCCCTCCGGGCACGGGATGCTGCTGAAGCTGCCTCCGGGAGTAGCAGCTGGTTTTGAGACTTCGCCTGTTTCGGGAGTGCGTGATTTCTACCTTCTCTACATTCAGAACACCTAGGCTTCTCTCCCTGGGGGTTCCCTGCCTCCTCCAGAAAGGCTCAGGTTCCACACAAACATTTCCTGGCCCCTTCTAATAAGACCATTGCCCCAGGTTCCTTGTGGGTTGATGCCCCCCTCACTCGGGGCTGTCTTCCCAGGCCTCTAAATTCACCCTGATTTCACAGCGCCCCTTGGGTGCTCCCGTGTTCCTGGCACCCTGAGCGTGCTCCCAGCCTCAGTTACAGGCTTCTGTCCGGGGGCAGCCTCAGGTAGTCTGAACACAGCCAGAAGGGCTGGAAGGCTGGAGCCACACCCCCTTCGTCCTTGGTTTGCCTGCTGGGGCCTTTCTGCCTCTGTTCCCACGGGAGAAGACGGGGTGCCCAGGGGTCTGTGTCCCTTCCTCCAATGCAGGCAGGTTTGGTGAATCTCGGGCAGTGGTGCCAAGGGCTGGGCGCTGCTCTTACCTGAATCATAATCAGGAAGCTGATGGTAAATAGGAGGAAGTAGAAGCCCTTCATCTTGGGAGGATCTTGGTAACAGCTTTTGGAAATGAGCACGGGGCTGTCTGCAGGCTCCTTTTGGCTGGGCTGTTTTTGAACAGAGAGGCGGGGTGAAGGGGAGAGGAAGGAGGGCCTATGGGGTGGGGTGTTGCTTCCTTTACAGATTTCAGGAGGACACTGGGCCCTGGCTGATGTTGCATTCTGGGACCCAGACAACTCCCAAGGGGTGGGAGGTAGACAAAAAGGGGCAGCTGTGGGGCAGTACACAGGGCCCCGGGCTTGGAGTAATGCCTAGTGGGGATTGATTCTTGGTTTAATTATCTATCAACTCTGCAACCCTAGGTCAGAAACTGTACCTTTCTGAGCTTTTAACAAAAGAACAACCATGGGATTAAGTGCAATATAACCCATTTAAATGTGTGAACACATAGTAAATAGTATATAATTTTTTTTAAAAAAATCCCTAGCTGGTTTGGCTCAATGGAGAGAGCAACAAGGTACGTGCCCTTGACCAGAATCGAACCTGGGACCCTTCAGTCCACAGAACTTTATTTCTGCTCTGGCTGGTTTGGCTCAATGGATAGAGCGTCAGCCTGCGGACTGAAGGGTCCCAGGTTCAATTCTGGTCAAGGGCATGTACCTTGTTGCAGGCTCCTCCCTGGCCACGCATGCAAGAGGCAACCAATTGATGTGTTTCTCTCACATTGATATTTCTCCCTGTCTTTCCCTCTCTCTAAAAAATCAATGGAAAATTTTTTTTTAAAAATCAATGGAAAAATATCCTCAGGTGAGGATTAAAAATAAAAATAATAAGATTGGGGCAGGGCACAGAAGCTAAAGGAGAACGGGTTGGGATAGAATTAGGTTTAGCGGTAAGGTTGCATGTGGCTCCATAGGTTCAGAACATTCATATTTGGGGCTGGGGGTGGAATAGTAGACTTCTGTGAAAACCAAGGAGCACTGTATTCGTAATCTGGGAGTCTAGCTTCTAGTAGGCCCGTTTCCTGTCAGCCTCATAGCTCTCATTTCAACTAGGAAGACTATAATGATTTATTTTGGAAGTTTCTTCAGACCTAGTATTTTGTGATTTGGGTAAAGAATATAGCAGATGGGGTGTCAATCTAGGATGGATGGAAGGGGGGCTAGTGGAGGGGCAAGCAGGTAACGAAACTTACTTGTCCCACTGACTTGTCCCACGTAATAAATGGTAGAGCTAGTCTCATCTGAACTTGAATCCAGGTCTGAAGCCACATTCGTGTATGTAACCTATGGGGCTGCCCAGAAGTCTCGATTCCCTGTCCCTTTCCATCCTGGAGAATCTAGATGTTGGCTCTGAAGGCCAGCTCTAACCTCACCTACTCTCCTTTTCTTAGTCTGTTTTGTGCCTAATTTGCATACCAAATAGTAAAAGAAAAACCCCTCTCACTTCCCTTTGGGCCTCCTGTTGCAAACCTCCTGTCGCAAGCCTCAGAAAAACCTGAGTAGGACCTTAGGGGCCTCTAGCCCTGGCTAACAAGAACTGAGAATCCACTGGTGAGAGGAAGTCACGAAGTGCAGAGCGAGGGGGCAGAGCTTTCTACAAATGTATGGGACGAGAGGTAGAAAAACTATAGTTCAAGACCCACCAAGAAAAGGTAAATTCCCTTACTCCCAACTAGGCTTTGGGTTGGGTCCATGAAAGATTACATCTGAGGAGTGAGAGTGAATAGGAAACAACTGCCCAGCCCTCACAGAAATGATAATACAAACAATTACATGGAAGATCCAGATCATGGGATTATCAACTAAACTCTCAAAGAGCAATGCTTAGTATATTCAAAGATATATAAGACAGGACTGAGAACTGGAAATTGTAGAAAGGAACCAAATGGGACTTCTAGAACATAAAAATACAATAATAGAAATTAAGAACTCAGTAACCAGGTTTAACATCAGATTGGACACAAATGAAGAGAGAAGTAGTGAAGTGGAAGCTAGATAGAAAATATTACAGCATCATATATTTCTTAAGTGCCTACCATGGGTCAGGTACTGGTCTAGGCAATGGGTATACAGACGTGAACAAAAAGGCAGAGTTCCTGCGCTTATGGAACTGACGTTCAAACGAGGGAAGACAAATAAAAAATTATGGCAATTTGGGTTTCAATAAACGCTATGAAGAAGTCAAGAGGGCAATGTGAGGAAAGAGAAATGAGAGAACATATTCTAGGTAAATGTTTGGGAAAGACTACTCAGAGTAAGTGTGTTGAGACCTGCAGAACAAGAGGGACCTAAGCATGCAAAACACTCAGCCCACTCCCTGTCCCAGTTTCACAGTGTTCTTTGATGACTGTCCCCAAGGCCCATCACAGTTCCACAAAGGGCAGGTGCTTGATGTGTCCTTGAGCTCAATGATGGAATGGAATACTGCAAGCGTGAAGGGAGGGGAAGGGGGTTGCAGCATATCTTACAGGATGATCTGCTTGTGTTGTGCCCAGATTTCAAGGTTCCCAGGACCCCCAGGGAGCCCGTCAGTCCGATGCAAAAGCAAAGAGTCCTTCATTTCGAACTAGTTCGGCTCCCCAACCACACTCACCGATGCAACGGTAGCCCAGTGGCCGAGAGAGAGCGAGGCCTGATGGGATTGTGGATTTTATAGTAAGGGCAGGGGAGGGGACTGTGGGCCCCGCCGATTGGCCAGGCGCGAGTCGGAAATCCTGGGCGTGGCCAGCAGGGGCCTGGGCTTCCGGGAAGAAGGCACTCTCCTGAGCACATGGCGGCCGCCCCAAAACTGGAGGACCCAGGGCAAGATGGAGGGCGCAGTCCTAGCCCCCCCCGCCCCCCAGGGCAAGCTGAGCCCGGGCTCCAGCGGCCAGTCCGGTTGCTGGGGGTCCAGCAGATCGACCAGTTCCAGCCCAGACAGGAAGTCCACGTCCTCCATCTCGTTCCCGGGAGCGCCAGCGATCGCCTCCTCCTCCATCTCCTCGGGCTAGGGCACACACCCCGCCCTGCCACCGCTGCTGCCGCGTGGGTCCGGTCCGGGGGTGGCGGGCGGGTGGCAGCCTGCGCCGGGCTCCCGCCGTGGGCTGGGGAGTCGGTGCCCGAGGCCGCCAGCAGCATGGTCAGGCCCCGAGACGACTCGCCCTTTCACTTGCATTTTTTATCCCCACTGAAAGAGGGCTGTGATCCAATGGCACACACAGAGCTCTTCGAGGTAAATCTTCATCCAGCTGTCTGTTCATTCATCCATTTCAGGCAACTTATTGATACCTACTGTGTGTCAGGCAAGATGAATGAGTGAGAGTCCCTTCCCTGAGGAGATCACAGTCCACGAGGGAGACACATAGTGAAAAAAATCACAAACCTGAATAAGAAATGCTCTAATGGCCGCAGGACTATTAGGATGTAGAGTGTAATACTGCTTGGGGGGAGTGGGAGTATTCATGGAGGAGGGAACATTTGAGCTAGTTCTTTTTTTAAAATTTAAATATATTTTATTGATTTTTTTTTTTTTTTACAGAGTGGAAGGGAGAGAGATAAAGAGTTAGAAACACCGATGAGAGAGAAACACCAATCAGCTGCCTCCTGCACATCTCCTACTGAGGATGTGCCTGCAACCAAGGTACATGCTCTTGACCGGAATCGAACCTGGGAACTTTCAGTCCACAGGCCGATGCTCTATCCACTGAGCCAAACCGGTCAGGGCTTGAGCTAGTTCTTGAAGGACTGAGGAGGACTTTCCCAAGGGGAAAAAGCAAAAGAGGATATTCCCACTGGACGAAGAGGCCTGAACATAGCATGATCGTTTCTGGAACATTGGGAAGGGTGGAGGGCAGAACTCATAATATGAAGGCCTGAAATGTCATGCTAAAAGAGGGATTGATCCAAGGGGGCAGTGATGTGAGTGAAGAAGGGGAGGAAGGTGGGAGAGAGAGCTGTTTATTCTGAGGAAATGCATGAACTTAGAGAACCTGTCTGTCCTTTATTCACTTTTACCTCCTGAGCTGCTAGGTCCCAATAAACTCTTTAGTCCCAAAGGGGTCATGACTGATAAGGGTCTTTCAGGAAATGACCTAAAAGCAAAGTGGACTATGTCTATTCTCAAGAGTAGAAACTTCTCACTCCAGGGCCGGGATCTCCTACAGGTGGGAAAACAGGCCTGGAAAGATCCTCATTTAGGACCTCCCTTCTCCCAGTCCAGGACCTCTCTACCATTGTCAGGCAGTGGGCATCCACTGTGGGACGGAACCAAGAAGAGGCCAGTGGCCACCATCCCAGAGGTCAAGGAATGAACTTGGAAGCTGGACAGATTGACCTCCAATGTCCTCCCAAAACTCCTATCTGCTGTGAGCCCAGAGACCACGGAAAGATATTCAGAACCCTTTACATTGGGGAATAGAGAAATACAGGTCAGACTAATAAATATTAGATGAGGTCAGACTCTTTTGTTTCCTTAACTTTGTTTTTGGGAAACACCTTTTTAACCACAATAATGTGGCAAGGTCATGATAAATTCAGTTCACACAATAATCCTGTGAAGCAGGTTTTTATTAGAATCTCTATTACAGATACAGAAACTGAGGCTCAGAAAAGGGCAGTCGCTTCAGCAAGAACAGCCAGCTAGGAAGTGACAGAGCCCAGCCTCACAGACTTAGGTTATGCTGACCCATAATATAGTCTCAATAAATGGTAGCTATTATTATTTTCCAAATTTCAACAATGAAAATGCATACTTTCTTGGTAAGGCTCTGACTTCCCCCAATAAATGCTATTAAAATAAATAAATAAAATGGCCTGCAGGTTAAAGGGCTTCCTCACACAAATGAATGATTGCTGAGTGCCTGCTTCCGGATATCACAGGGTCCTGGGTAGGAGGAAGGTATGTGGTAAAGCCTGATGCCTAGGTATATGCCAATTCATGCTTCCCAGTCTTGCTGGGTGGGGCAGGAAGCAGAGAACAGAACATAGCAGGTCTCATGAGGCAAGACCGCCCCTCCCTCTCGTCCCTCCCCCGACCCCCCGATTCCCATGCTGTTGGTCCTTGCTGAAGGAACACAGCAAGGTCACAATATAAGGTTGCTAATCCCCTGACCATGGCTCCAACCCACCCGGAAACACTTGGCCCTAGGTTGACCT